ATTTTGTACCCAAAACATTATTTTTCTCATGTAGTGCTTTTGCATTAAGTTTCAAACGAGATTTGAGGATTTAAATAAATTTTATTTCGTAACCGAATTGACATAAAAGTGTTTCATTATTGTAAAAGTTGCACAACCCTGATTAAACCTTTGAAAATTATCTGTTAGGTTAATAATTAAACCTCTGACACGCATGCGTTCCTGACCCGCACTTCTCCCTCTGACCACATGAGGGCGCTGTTTAGCTCGGTTCAGTGAACTTTGGTCAGGCAGTAAATTGGCGTGTTCGCAGCGCGAGCTCAAGTCCTCCGAGACAGAAACACAGATACCCAGGACATGGACAAAAGTTTGACGCGTAAGTTGTAATTTAARACCAGGATAGCTGGTAATTTTGGAGAAAAGAGTTTTTTTATGTAGTTAAACCTTAAAAGAGCCCTTTCATTGTTTGGTTATTGGTTAACAGGAAGACATGTGGTATTTATTGATCTGTGTGATTGGGTTTGAGTGTGGAGTGACCTTTTGAGACTTTAAACTTAATTAACTTAGCTGTATTTTCTCAGCTCTTACCTTTATCAGCTTTGTGCTGTTGTCTTTAAATGTAAATAACAGTTCAGGAGGGATGATTTGTTTTCTGTTTGGCTGATGTTTTAGTGATTATATTAGTGGAAAATTTTACACAGTAACTTTTTTTTGTGCCCTTTTCTTTAACCAGGATCACATTACATCTGAGCCACRGGGCTGCTGAGGAAAAACAAAGGTGGACATGGAGGACGTCTGGGCRGGGGTCTTTTGGGCCATGAAGATCTGGCTGTACCTGATCATCAGCCTCATCATGTTCCCAGCCATGTTTGGATTCTCTCTGGGCATCTCCGAGGCCTACATGACCATCTTGATGAAGACTTTAAAGGTATGCTCACACTGAGGCACGTTCTTTTTTTTATTTTTTTAATCTCGCACACTAACCATGAACGTCTGCTACCTGTCCTCCACCATAGTGGGCCACTCTGAAGATACAGAAGGCAAAYGCTGAAGAAAAAGCAGTCAATAATATCCCATCTAATGGTATGTGAAWATATAAAGAGATGAACTTTTATCTTTAATTGTTCAACCTGTGGGTGGACTTGATGTTTGCTGCAACACTGGATTTTCTCATCTGTTGCGTTGCAAGTCCAGACAGGCATGTTGCAACAACATTCAGCTTTTAAACAGCTTTTTTAACCTCTAAAGGAAGCAATGTTTTTCTACATGCATCAAAAAATTCCTCCTAATGTAACAAAGTTTGAGCTCGGTAGTTTAAAATGTTTTGTTCTTCCAATAAAGGGACAAAAAAGGACATTTCTAGACGTTTTTGAGACTTTGTAAGCATGTAGCAGGGTGAAGTGGCTCTRGGATCTGTGCCTCAAGTAGCTAAAAAGTTGCTCAACTCCTTATCTGTGACTGAGGGTTGGATCCTGAGCCGTGCACATAAAGATGTCAGGTTCGTCAGCAGAACGAGGCTCCTCTAAAGTCCAAAGTGTGTCCCTGGTGCCTTTTTTTTTAAATGGCGATAACACAAACAGTGTTCAAGAAGTTTGGACTTTGTATGGAGTTTGGAGTTTGGTGTTTCAGGCTGTGATCTTTGTTGCCAGAATCTGAACCATTCRGTGAAACGTTACTAAATTAATACTGAGTCCAAATATATAAGATTAGACCGACTTTGAGATTTCTTTTAAGAGCTTGGCTCCTATCAGAAGAATGACTTTTGATATTTCACAGGGTTCCCATGGGTCCTTGGAATCCTTGAAAGTTTGTGAATTTGAAAAAAAAAAACGATTTTAAAGGGATCCATGATTAGTTGTAACATTAGACTTTATTTG